ATGCGATCTTTCCCACAGCGGTCCCGGCTCGGCTGTGCTCGGCTGCCTCACACAACCTTACAGAAGCGCTACGTCACGTATCCGTATGCACACAGATACGTGACGTAGCGCTTCTGTAAGGTTGTGTGAGGCAGCCGAGCACTGCCGAGCCGCTGTGGGAAAGATCGCATCACTGGAGGTATGTAATGCGGAACTGTGGATGTCTAGTAGACATTTATAGGAGATTACATATGCTGCGTTCCGTAAAGCACATATGCACGCATGTATCTATAGTATACGTTATGTATACTATAGATACATGCACGCATATGCGCTTTATGGAACGCAGCCATAGACATCTAATAGAGATTTCGAATCTTCATGATAGACATCTAGTGGATATCCATTAGAGCTTTTTGTTCCGTGTGGGTACATCCTTGCTTTTTTTCGCAAAGCAGAAAATCTACTAACCCTTTCTTCACAATAAAAATAATGCATAAATGGGCCAATATTACGTCAATTACGATTAATCTCTGTCAGTTCGACAACCAAGATAAGGGTGGGGGATCATTTTCCACTGTTCGATCGCTTTGACGACTGCTTCGAGTACGTCATCGGGAATAATTAGCGTTACAGAATCAGACCAATGTTTTCGCAATAACGAAAGGCAAAAAGCAGTACAAGTAACAAAGAAGTTAGCTACTTTAGCTGGTTTCTCATTAAAACCAAATTAAGATCAACTTCATCGATTTTAAACTGAATAAGTAAAATTGTGCTTTTCGTCACGTTAATGCGCATTTAATTGCCGCACTATTTGTCGGTTTTCAATTATACCGGGTGTTTCAGACCACCCGTCCCACCCTTTTAAAACGTAGGGATGTGCTTGTACAAAAAAATGGCTCAGACAAAATTTGCATGATTTCGAGGGATCTATCTGATGGTGATTTTGACTTTGACCTCGCAGTTGATTTTCAAGATTATTTGAAAGTCAGAGTTATTTTTTTAAATGGAAACCCCTATTTTTATTCAAAATCTAATAGCTGGTGTCAA